AAGGCAAACCAAGAACTCATCAATCAACTGCAGATACTTTTATTTGAGACATTCGGATTGATACATAAATCATTTATATTTCTTCTTTGCATTTGATACAGTGGCTTTCACATCAGGAGGTGGTCTCAAAGCGCTTCACAGGATTTTACCTCAAAGTGTAGTGACTGTATTTTGCAGACTATTTTGTAGTTGAAAGCGGGCAGCCAATTTGTGCACATCAACGTCTTGCAAACAGCTGTGAAGTGAGTGACCATTAATCATAGCATTAAATAGAAATACTTTTTATCTAGAAACAGAAACATATTGTAACTTGTTGGAGGGATTTGTAAGTACAACTAGGTAATCTATTCAATAACTTTACACGCAGGGTAACATAGTGTTGTACTATATCACGTACACAACACAACAATAACAGTCTAGAAACACCCTGTCCCTTTAAGAGGCTATACCAATGGTGAAGCGAGTGGAATGTTATAGCCTATAATAAGTTGTTTTTCTTTACAGAGTAAGTATCACATTAACTGTGTAGCTCCGCAGTATTAATCACTGAGATTTCCATGTTATTCTTCCAGCTGTAACCATTATCATTTTGACTCACACTGAGCTTAAGATTTCTTTTGGTCAGCCTGGTGTCTGACACATGCAGAAACCAATTACCATGCCTAAGAGTATCCAAACCAGATTGGGAGTTCCACATGTATATGCCGCTTACACATGGAAATTTCCCTGTATCTGGAATGGAATGTACACTCTCTCTGTGGAGGGATGCATCCTGCTTACCTAATTATGGAGAGTATTAGTCTCAGAGCTGACGAGAGTCAAGGATTGTTGACCCCAGAGTGTGCGTTGGGCTAACTGCTAAAGTCTCACCAGCTAAAACCACATAACTTACCATTCAGAGCATTGTCTGGCAAGCTTTCCCGCTGTTTGTCCAGCTAGGACCACTCTACCTGTTAGGGCTTTGGTTTGCAGGTTTAACAGGAGCTGAGTGGGAATATTCCCTTCCCCCAGTGACTGGTCTGCCCTTCCAAGTCCTCCCATTGAGCCAACTGTGCTGTTATCACTGCCCTGGAGTTGAATTATCCGCTGATACATGTGGCCCAGATAAACATGCCTGAAAGGTGGATTACTGGCGTGTTTTTAGAGCCAATGAAAATCTTTCCCTCCCCCCTCCAAGATTGCTCTCACCAGATGAAGGGAGAAAATTAGAAACAGTTGATCCATCCTATGTGACAAGGCAGCTGAGCCCCCAAAGCATTTACTGATCAAGACACACAGCAGGAGCCTAGGGACGGTGAAGCAAGTGGAACATTATAGCCTATAATAACTAAGTACTTTTACAGATTAAGTATCACATTAACTATACAGTACACTCCGTCCAAGGAGACTTTTTTCCTCCTTTTAGGTAGGTATCTAACTGGACCCACTTAGGCTACACACGTCCAGGGAATTTCTACTCTCCCCAGAGCATCTGGTTTTGTTTTTTTAGACAAGATTTCAGCCCACACACTGACACCAACACTAATACGACCAGAATAAATCTTATCTTATTATAGCTATGTTACTGAAATATTAAACCTATAGAATTAAAATGAGCACTTTTTAAAAACTACTCAAAACACTTCCCTTGTTTCTCCATTTACTCAAATGTTCATTGTATTACTCCAACTTTATGTTTTAACCATTGCATTTTGGCTGACATAAAGTGTGCTGAAATAAGAACATAAGAATTTGTTAGGCGAAAGAAGACCAAGAACCATCCAGTTTGCCTTCCACCATCCTGGCAGTAACTATATACTGTGTCCCGCGATATTATTTTCTAACAGAACCCTATCGAATTTGTTCTTCAAACAAACAATAATTTCTACTTCCACTGTCTCCCTTTGGAGCCAGTTCCATATGTTTATTACTCGCTCGCTGAAGTAGTGTTTCCGCAGATTTGTTCTGAATTTACTCCCCTTCAGTTTCTTGCACCTTTCTTAAGACATTTAACCACTTGTCTTAACTCCTTTTTTCTTTGTGCTGCCTTGACCCTGGATCCCACTGGTTTGCTCAATATGAAACAAATTTGCTTCTGCTTGACTGAGAACTTATTAGTAATAAGGTAACATCACAATAATCTGGGACTCACAAGTTCATACAGATAAGAACAGTAATATGTAATAAACCAGGGAGCATCATGAAAAACAACTTGATTGTACATGCAATATTATTGATGTGGCTATTCAAGTGACTACAACATACATAATAAAGAGCTAGAGAAGATCGGGAAGCATGTTGACCTACGCATTTAATATGGATGCATGAGGAATGCGCACTCTCTCTCTGAAGGCCAGCTCCCTGTTTAACTAATTCCAGAGATTATTACACGTAGACTGGGGATCCCAGAGTGTGCGTTGGGATAACTGCTGGAGTTCAACCAGCTAAACCCGCATAGTTTGCCATTGAGAGCACTGTCTGGCAAGCTTTCCTGCTGCTTGACAAGCTAAGACCACCTTATCTGTTAGGGCTTTGGCTTGCAGGGTTAATGGAAGTTGAGTGGGAAGAATTCCTACACCCAGTGACTAGTCTGCCCTTCTAAGTCCTGCCGATGAGCCAGGCTGGCTGTGCTGTCATCAGCAGTGCCCTGAACCCACCTGGCTCAGGAACTGGACTAAAGACCACCACAAAGGGATGACTCGATTCTGACATTCCATTGCCCAACAGATCACCTCGGAGCCTGCTCAGCCGCAAGGAGACCCCATTTATTTCCATCCAAGGAGGATAGTCACTGGTTGGTCACTAGCACAATGTGAGATTGAAAAGTACCACTCTGTAATATTAATCCATCTGGATCAGTACTGTACCAAAGAGCTACTGTGGTCCCTGACAGTTACAGGAAACTCCTTTTGACTTATAGTCCAATGCCTTTTGAGATGCAATGTGTCCACCTGGTCTTGGAACATAGGAGCAGGAGGAGGCTATTCAGCCCATTAAGCCTGCACTGCCAGCTTACCAGATCTGGTTAACACCAGATATTGTGTTAACCACATTGTGTGCTTGTTGAGCTCATAGTTCAGGGTGGCACTCCAGTGCAGTGCTGGGGGTGGGGGAGGGAGAGGAGCGCTCCATTGTCCGAGTAATATGGTGGAACAGGTTACTTTTGACCCCATTTCTCCACCTTGTCTCCACATCCTTTAAAAGCCCCTTCCTTCCCAAGTATCTGTCTATCTCTCTTCTAAACGTCCCAGAAGACTCTGCCTCTACAGCCTTTTAGCGAAGTTCAGTTGACACTTTTTCTGTTTGAGAAATGTTTCCTGATCTCACTTCTAACTCTATTTTAAGACTACGTCCCTGTAGTAGATTAACTTTGTTTACACTAGATTGGACCTTGACTGGAAACTTTCAATAATCACAGAGAAATCCTTTCCTTCTCTCCCTCTGTGTTAATGGTCCCTGCATTTTATACACCTTTACCATCTCCTATTGCAACATATATTACGTTGCATTAAATATCTATCTGCTACCATTTGGCTTATCTGCTCCTTGTCTGCTTAACTGGCCTAGATTTTCAATGCAGCATTTCCTCCAAGTGCCACTTCCCTAGTAATCTTCCAATGTTGAACTATTGATATCTCACATCTGCACCAGCATTTGCTATTCCAAAGAGCACATTCCTCATAGAAGCATAGGACCAACAGTGGGACATTCAGCTCCTTGTGCCTGGCCCGCCATTCTATTAGATTATGGCTGATCTGTACCTCAAATCCAAATACCTGCCTTTGCCCTGTATCCCTTGATCCCCTTGCCTAACATACATCTATCCACCTCAGTCTTCAAAATTTGAATTGATCCAGCAACCACAGCCTTTTGGGTATGAGAGTTCCAGATTTCCATCACCCTTTGAGTGAAACACTGCTTCCTGATTTCACTCCTAAATGGCCTTGATCTAAGACTAGGCTCCCTTACTTTGGATTCCCTCACCAAAGGAAATTTCTCTGTAGCTACCTTATCGAATGCTCCTGCCCTCCACCCCTCCTGACCCCAACCCCCGGCTCAGGTCCAAATCCCTGACTGTCTAGCACCTTGGGGGGGTCCTCCCGACATGAAAGGCACTCTACAAATATAATTTGTTGTTGGTGGTAGTGAATTCCTTTATCATTTTAACTGGCCAATATATCTTTCCTGAGGTGTGGTGCCCAAAACTGAACACAGTCCTGTCTACCAGATGGGGTCTGACCAAGACTCTGTGCAACTGAAGCATAGTTTCCTTACCTTTGTATTCTGGGTCATTGTAATGAACTGGAATGCGCTTGGAAGCCATCTATCAAAGGCAAGCTGCGTAAATAATGAGTGAACTTGACACCCAACATGGTCTGGATACCTGGTGTGAACGCAACTAACAAATTGGAATAACTTGATATTTTTACTATTGAATGCAAAGTCGTGTGTAACAGATTTGCACAAGGTAGGTCTGACCATCACTGAAGCGTAGTGATTTGAATTTTGACATTGAGCTCCTTTAAGTAAGATTTTCCGACGTGTCTTGTTTAATGAGTGTCGGAATTTCTCTATTTTCTCGCCAGGCAAACTTTGCCTTGTTGGAACACACAGCATCAGATGCCAGGTCCTCGGTGGTGTTACATAATATTAATCCTTGATGTAGAGCACAAGGATTAAGTGCTCCGGGACACTACCCCACATGAAGGGTGCTATATAAATGCAAGTTGTTGTTCTAGAGCCATCATGGAGACGGCTCAAATCCTTCCCAGGATTTATTGAAAAGTTGAACGACTGTATTTTATGGGCCAATTGAACAGCCAATTTGCTCACAACAATGTCCAACAAACATCCATGGAGTGAGTGACCAATTTTATTGGTGGGATTGTTGTCCAGGCCACCGGGGGAGAGACACTCTCTTCTCTTTTTGGATAGTGCTATGGGATCCACCTAAACAGGGAGAAGGGACCACGGCTTAACTTCATAAGAAGCCTTGAGGGGTGACCCTCAAAATTTTAAAATTTTGGTTTTTGATAGAGTCACTAAGGAAAAATTATTTCCACTGGTTGGTCAATCAGTGACTAAAGGCATCAGTTTAAACGAACAAACGTTAGAAGAAATTGTTTTCACGCACAGAGTAGTTAGTAAATGTAATGCTCTGTCCAGGAGTGGTGGAGGTGGCAAACTCCATATTGGTCTTCAAGAGAGAATTGGCAGGATACCTTAAAAAAGTCAGCTATTAGGGGTACGTGGAAAGAGCAGGTAACTACGACTGAAACAATGGCTCTTGAGGGAGCTGGCACAGACATGATGGGCCGAATGACCTTCTTCTGAGTTATAAATTTCCATGGTACTCAGATTGCCACCTGTCACAACAACAACAAATTACGTTGGTATAACGCCTTTCCCAAGGCTCTGGACAGTCAAGGATTTGCACCCGAGCTGGGGATTGGGATCAGGAAGAGTGGAGGGCAGGGAGAATGGGGCTAGGAAGGTGACTGAAGGCGTGGTCGAAGAGGTGGGTCTTGAGACGGGCCTTAAAGGAGGCAAGGGAGGGAGCAAGGCAGAGGGACTGTAGGATGGAGCTCCAGAAGGTGGAGGCAGAAAAGCTGATAGCCTGACCACCGATCGTGGAGTAGATAGGGTGGGTACGTGGAACAGGCCGGAGCCCGCTGAGCGGAGGGAGCGGGCAGGTCAGTATGGGGTCACTTACTTGTAGGATGGTGTGCTTGCATGCAGTGGAGGGCGAGTGTAGGGAATAATATGAATTGCACAAGATGGCTGGTTTGGACTGCAAACGAGCACATATAGCCTCAATCCTCAACTAGCCAGGTCCTGGTCTACCTCTGTGTGGAGTATGTTTGCTGTGCACGTTTGGACTGAAGAGAGCTGTGGTCTCAATAGCAGTTGGAGCAACTGGGCTGTTTATATTTTTACAGAAAGGTCTGAGTTGCTTGTAGCTTCCCCTGTCCTCAGTGCTGAGGGCTGGATACATGTGGAGAGAGCTTGGATCCTGAGGTTGGCTGCTCCCAGAAATTTTGCTGTGAGTGACTACAATACTGGGGATCCAGGGAGCCTTTGGGAACGTGAAGTCTCCTTTCTTCAGCCCAGCACCAGCCAGGCTTTCCGCTGCCTGAGCAGACAACAAGACAAATCAGAAACAATATCAATGCTTCACTGCAAATCAGTCAGAGACTCAAATCGAGCGTTAAAGCTTCATCTCCACTTAAGAGCAGCTGTAACTTCTTAATTCGATTCCCATCTATTATGTAAGTAACTGTAACAGAGTGAGCATTAAAGGAACAATGCCACTGGTTGCAATGTATTGCAAGATACCTTACAAGATGTTACAGCACCTTCCTGCACAGTCAGGGATTTGGACCCGAGCTGGTGGTTAGGATCAGGAGGGGTGGAGGGCAGGGAAGGTGGAGGTAGGAGGGTGATGGAAGACAAGGTTGCTTATGGGTAACATAAGCACGTGCCTGTTATTACTTACAGAATCAGCCACACCCTTTGCTCTGAATAGTTAAGAGACCTTTACTTACATAGAGGGGGGAGCTGTTACGCTCTCGGGGAGCCATTTCGACCATTGAGATGTCGTCCGCATCGGCCGATGTCTGCAGGTAAAGCACCAGATTGTTACAAGAGGCAGGCGATGCAGGCCACAAGCTACAGAGATCACAGCATTGGTTTGGCTCATTTCATCTCATCTCATCCTGGAGTCCTGTAGCTCAGTGGTTAGAGCACTCGCTTTGCAAGCGAGAGACCTGAGTTCAATTCCAGGCACAGGGCGAAACCTTGGGCAAGTTTCCTTACTCCACACGCCTAATAATAATCCCTCCAAAACCAAAAAACAATAATAAATTGGTCATTTTCAATCTACGACTGTTTGTGGGACATTGCTGTGCGCAATTGGCTGCCGCGTTCGCCCACAATTATACAGTCAATTCACTTTACGGTATATTCTGTGAAGCGCTTTGGGTTGTCCTCCCGATGTGAAAAGCGCTATATCAAATGCGAGGATTATTATTATTATTATCCTCCCATCTCCTGTGTGTCAGCCTGGCTCAGGTGCTACCACTCTCACCTCAAGAGTCAGAAGGTTGTGCGTTTCTTTTGGCATTTTTCTGGATTTAATTTCTTAATCTCATTTAGGATTTTATGTACTGCTCGAGGGTCCCCTCTCTGACATCTCTTTTCAAGGTTGAAGAGCCTGATCTTATCGAGTACTGTGGTTCCTTACAGCTCATGGGCCTAACACTGGGGATCAGCCTGGCTCGGTGTTCCGGCATGGGCACACCAACTCTTTCTTTTATCCCTTTCCTTCACTGTGGCTGCCACCCACAAGGTGTACTGGCCAGACTTGGGCCTTTTGGAATAAAACACGCCAGGAGACGCACTTAACTCAACTCGCTTTTATGTCCTCTGCATTCCTGACTAGAACGAGATTTGCTAGAAATTTGCTTCTCTCGCATATTGGTTAATTTGTTCAGCTGATGCGCCAAGTCCCCCTGTCTCATCTGTAGCTTCATCACTCCCTCATTCTTCCCTCCTCCCCTCGCTATTCCCCCTCCTCCCCTCCCCTCACTCTTCCTTCATTCAGTCCTGCCTTCTGGACTCTAGAACAGAATCTACAATGGAATTATGTTAAGATCTATGTTTTTCAGGCTCCTTCACTCCCTTGCTCTTCCCTCCTTCCTTCACTGTTCCCTCCTCCCTCGTCACCAATCTCCATGTCCCTTGCTAGGGCTGCTGGAATCCCAGTCCTTACCTTTTCATAGATGCCGGAGACATGACTTTTGATCTTGGCCTTGCTGTCACTCAGCTCGGCTGTGTCTTTACTGAACTCAATGGACACCTGCCTGCTGGCTGGTCTCGAGCTGGTGCTGGAGGTGTCTCCCTCAATGTCAGTCCAGTTCTAGGAAGGAAATGCAATAATACATCACGTAAGATGTATAATAATAATGGGGATCCGGGTTCAATTCCTGGGCAGGGCAAAACCTTAGGCAAGTTTCCTTACTCCACACATCTTACTCCACACACCAGTCCTAGCAATAAGTAGGAACCCAGTTGTTAGTCGAATAACAGATTGCCTTCCGAGGGTAATAAACCATTAAAAAAAATTATAATAATTTGGTCACTCAATCCACGACTGTTTGTGTGACACTGCTGTGTGCCAATGGCTGCTGAGTTTCGCCCATAAAATATACAGTTAATTCACTTTAAGGCATATCCTGTGAAGTGCTTTGAGACGTCTCAACGACGTGATACGGCTCTATACCAAATGCAAGGATTATTATTTTCCATTTGAGGCGAGTCACCTACTGCGCTATCCCACACTCATACTCGCTCCCCAAGACATTTAACACTCCAAGCATCCATCCAATGGTTTTCAGAGGCTCCACTCCTGGTCGGCCTTACCGACTCGCTCTCTGAAGCAGAAGACGCGCGGCTCCTGACCCGCTGATGCCCATCAGAGGTTTGGCTGGTCACAGTGAAACGTCTGGTTGAAACGTAGCTGACTGAGGACCTGTAGTCCCTCTGAGACACACGCATCAGACTTTGGAGGAATGGAATGTATCTAGCAATTGCCATTCTGAAAATGAATGAGGAACCGAATGAGAAATCAGATTTGATAGTTCCAAATTATCCCCATTAGATCGCAGCCCTCATACACTAAAGAATGCTTTAACTAATATGCTACGGGACTCTACCGGAGCTACAGTACCGGAGTCCCATAGCGTGGTGGTTAAAGCACTCACCTCGCAAATGGGAGGATTCAGGTTCGCTTCCCAACCAAAGCAAAAACTTACGTAAGGTTCCTTACTCCACATACCTCTGCACTGATCCAAAACTCTGCTGCCCACATACTCACCCATTCTAAACTCCATAACCCCATCACACCAGTTCTAGTCAGGATCCACCGGCTCCCTATTGCCGAACGGATCAATTTCAAGATCCTCATACACGTTTTCAAATCCCTTCATTCCCTGGCATCTGCTTATTCGATCTGCTTACTCCCGAACCCACTACCTACTGCTTCTGCTTGACTGGATCTGACCTCTTGCATGTCCCTTGTGCCCTACGTTCCACCAGCAGTGGCCGGACTTTCAGCAACAATGCCCCGAAAGTCTGGAACACTCTTTCTCTATCCCTCTGTCTTGCCTCCTCTTTCCCCATCTTCAGGTCACATCTGAAGACCTTTCTCTTTGACCGTACTTATGGTCACCTCCCCCATCCCCCGGCTTGGTGTTGTGCTACTCCACTGTCAAGCGCTCTGGATGCTAATTTACGTGAGGGTTGCTATATATTAAAACAATTGTTGTTGTTGTTTACCAAGCAGTAAATAGGAACCTAGTTGTTAGTTGATTGGTGGATCACCAAATAGTGTCTGGGACTCTGCTATGTACAATTGGCTGCCGCATTTCGCCCACAAAATATACAGTCAATTCACTTTACAATATATTCTGTGAAGCGCTTTGAGACGTATCAATGATGCAATAACGCTCTATATCAAATGCAAGGATTATTATTACTATTAATACTGTCGCTTACCTATACTTAGGATGGGTGATGGCGTAGATGATGGGGTTGTGGATGGCCGAGGCTTTGGCAATGACGGCTGGGATAGAGTTCATGTAGGGAGTAAGAATACTGGAGTATCTAAAAAACAGAGCACACAGAAATATGTATTCAAATGGCACAAAAAATAGTGGACAATAGGGAACAAATCAACATTAGTCTTGAGCCCACTGCATACAGTTCTGGTTACTGCAACATAAAGAGGATGCCCAGGCACGAGAGGCAGTGCAGAGGGGAGCAATGAGAAGATCCCCAGTGTTAAAGATATGAGCGATGAGTTGGGCCAATAGAAAAGTGCGGCCACATGTAATATTCTAAACAGCACCTCTGCTATAAACCCACTAAACATGGAGTTTCTGGCCCCCAGGCCTCTCATTACTGTTTACTCAATGTCACTCTGGGCCATGTGGCGCAAGCGGGAAATGGGCTACACTGTTGAGATTGTCTGTGTGTGTCTCTCTCCTGTGTGTGTGTGTGCGTGTGTGTGTGTCTCTCTCTCCCTCTCCTCTTTATGTATGTGTTTGTGCCTCTTTGTATCTGTGTGTGTGTCGGTGTGTGTGTGTGTCTCTCCCTGAGAATGTGTTTCTTGGTGTCTGTGAGTGTGTGTCTCTCTCTGTGTCTCTGTGGCTTTGCCACTCCAAGTCACTGCCCCACGTGAAGGGCAATGTATAAATGCAAGTTGTTGTTGTTGAAAGTTCATACCCAGCAAATGCAGTGAGAGCCACTGTGGAGTATGGGGACCAGGAGATAACAAAAAGCAAGATGACTATCAAGGCAATTTTTGCCATTTTCCACTCGTTCTTCATCCTCTGGTGTTGTTTCTGAGATTCCCTGTTGGTGCTTCCCCCGACTTTTTCCACAGCCCTGAAGTCAAAGTAAGAATTTTTAAATTTTACTCAAAGTGCACAAAGGATCAGAACTGTTGTTGCTTCTTTCCTTAACAAGTGAACTGAGTCATGGTGGAATTAATAATAATAATCGTTTCATTTGATATAACGTCTTATCGTGTCATTGAGAAGTTTTAAAGTGCTTCATAGAATATGTTGTAAAGTGAACTCTGTATTTTCTAGGTGAAACAAGGCAGCCAATTGAGCACAACAGAGTCCCACAAACACTTGTGGATCGAGTGACCAATTTATTATTATTTTTTTAATTATTTTTTTGAAGGGATTATTACCCCCGGAAAATCTGCCAATCGACTAACAACCGGGTTCCTACTTATTGCTTGGGAAACAGAGACCTGTGGAGGATGATTATTCTAGACATCACATTAATTGCAAGGAGTATTTGCATGTGTAGACCCGTAGCATAGTTGTTAGTTCAACCACCTCACAAACAAGAGGACTCGGGTTCGATTCCAGGCCGGGGTGAAACGTTAAGGAAGTATCTTCACCCCACAAGTCTCTCTTTACGTAGCAGTAAGTAGGAACCTGGTTGTTGGTCGATTGATGGATCACTTTACAGGGATAATAATCCCTCCCAAAAACAAAATAATTTGGTCACTCAATCCACGACGGTTCGTGGGACACTGCTGCAGCATTTGGCTCACAAAATAGTCAATCCACTTGACAGTATACTCTGGGAAGCGCTTTGAGACATCTCAACGACACGATAAGCCGCTATATCAAATGCAAGGATTATTATTGTATTCAACTGGGAACATTGGCTCTCGTCCAGGACCTGACGTCTGACACTGTGTCAGGACAGCAATGGTCATGCAGTTGAAGGTGGAGGCAGAGATAGGTGGAAATTAACCCCATGCCTGCAGATGATATCACTGAACGGGAGCATGAAAATATTAAAGAGGAGAGGACCAAGGACAGAGCTCTTAGGAACGCCGCACGTGATGGTGCGAGAGCTGGAGGAGAAACCGTTGGTGGATACAAATTGGAGAAGATAGGAAACGTAAGAACAAAACCAGGTCAGAACCGTGAAGGTGGAACTGAGAGGAGAGGCGGTGGAGAAGAATAGATCTCTGTAAGGAATTGTGAGTTGGAGATGATGGTTGAATGGTGGAGATGAATAAATATTCTGCAATTTTGCTCAATTACTTCTTGACATCAGATAGTATTTATATGCAGAAGATTCCTTCAGGAGGTTGAATAGGTTGGATTTTTTTTGGTCAGCTAGGTATCTGATACATGGAAATCATAGAGATAGTTGGAATGGAATGCACATTCTCTCTCTGGAGGGATGCATCCTGCTCACCTAATTCTCAAAAGTATTGGGGACGCCAGAGTGTGCGTTGGGGTGACTGCTGGAGTCTAACCAGCTAAAGCCACATAGTTTGATAGATTTCGCTGTCCAGCAAATTTTCCCACTGTTTGTCCAGCTAGGACCACCTACCCATTAGGGCTTTGGGTTTCAGGGTTAATGGGAGATGAGTGGGAGGATTCCCTGCCCCCAGTGACTAGTGGATAGATAGAGAGAACAATGAACAGGTTGAATTCAGACCATGATGGAGTAGATTGTATCTGCTGTATCTGCAGAATAAGTGGGATTTTCTCATTCAGTGCATTTTTAAGATCTATAAACTGTTCTATAATAATAATCCTTGCATTTGATATAGCGCCTTTCTAGATGTCTCAAAGCACTTCATAGAATATACTGTAAATTGAATTGACTGTATGTTGTGCTGGCATTGTGCAGTTCCTCTATGTTTTGAAGTTTGAGAAGACAGCTGGAGCAAGTTGGATATCATCAGTGGAAACTGGATGTTTAGATGCAGAGATGGAATATTGATTTCTCAAATGTTGGCATTTTTTGGGTCAAAGAGATTTGTGAAGAGACAAGATGGAATTTGATTTACAAAGGGTTTGGAGTTCAGTTACATAGAATTGGATATCATTTTACGAATAGTTGGAAACAAAACAGAGAGAGTTGGCCACGTTACAGATATTTGGGTCGTGAGTTGGGAGAGATTTGGCCAAATTGCATTCGAGTTGGCTGGGTTGCAGGGAGGTTGGCTGTTTTGAATAGAAAGTCGCGGAGTGAGTTGAGTTTCACTTGTAGACAGTTAAAAGTTGAACTACAGAATGTTGGAAAGTGGGTTTGCCTACAATGGGAATTTGGAAATTGAGTTATGGAGCTTGAAGTCATGAAGTCCTGTTTCACAGTGGTTACTCGCCTCACAAACGAGAGGACCTGGGTTCGATTCTCGGGCAGAGCGAAACATTAGGCAGACCTGTGTTTACCTAGCAGTAAGTAGGAGCCCAGTTGTTAGTCAATTGGCGGATCGTCTTTCCAGGGGTAATAATCCCTTCAAAATAATAATAATAATTTGGTCACTGAATCCACTGTTTGTGGGACACTGCTGTGTGCAATCACCCACAAAATATACAGTCAATTCACTTTACAGTATATTCTGTGAAGTGCTTTGAGATTTCTCGAAGACATGGTAAGGCGCTATATCAAATGCAAGGATTATTATTATTATAAATTGAGTGCCAGTGAATCACTGACTGGAATTGATGGGTGTTACACATGAGAATCATAACAATGTTGAGTTGAAGAGTCAGGGCAGATTGAAATATTTATCAGCTGCATTTGGATTTGACCTAATTTGAGGAATGAAGAGATTTGGAAAACGTAATGATAATTCTTTTGTTTGATATAGCATCTTTCACATCATGAAGCTGTCTGAAAGCTCTTCACAGGATTTATGATAGTGTAGATTGTCTGTATTTTTGTTGGTGAACGTGGCAGTGAATTTGCACACAGCAATGTCTCACATACAACCATGATGTAAATGATCAATTTTATTCAGGGAGATTGTTGGCCAGGACACTGGTAGAAACTCCCTTCTCTTTTTGAGTGGTGCCATGAATCTTTAACATCCACCTCAACAGACAATTAGAGCCTTGGTTTAACATCTAATCTGAAGGATGGCACCTCTGACAGTGTAACACACCCCTCAGCACTGAATTATGAATGCTGGACTGTGAGCTCAAAGTCCTGATGTGGGACCCATAACCTTCTGACTCAGACGTGAGTGTGTTACTAACTGAGCCAGACTGACAACAGCCTTATTTCTAGAATTAATACTGATTTATAATAGAAAAAGTCTTAAGCTCATGCCATGCGTTGAATTTGGATACCTGGCATTGATATGGCGACAACAACAATTTTACATTTACATTGTACTTTTCAACCAGGAGGATGTCTCAAAGTGCAATTCTCTCCCAAGAATAATAATAATAATAATCCTTGCATTTGATACAACGCCTTATCATGTCGTTGAGACGTATCAAAACTCTTCACAGGATATACTGTAAAGTGGATTCACTGTGTATTTTCTGGGTGAACGCAACAGCCAGTTGCGCACAGAAGTGTCCCACAAATAGTTGTGGATTGAGTGAACAATTTTATTTGGAGGATTTATTGGCAACACCATGAGCAACTCCCTTCTTTTTTTGATACCTAGATCGTCAATGTCCACCTGAACAGGCAGACGGGACCTCGGCTTAACATCTCATCTGAAGGACGGCACCTCCGACAACACACCACCAGCACCACATTGGAGTGTGAGTTTAGACTATGTGATTTCAAGTCCTGACATGGACTTTTAAACAGGTTTAAACACATTGAAAACTCACTTGTTGGTGGATTGGATGGTCCTGAAGATGAAGATGTAACAGCAGATGATGACTCCCAGTGGGATGAAGAAGACAAAGCAGAAGAGAAGCATAGTGTAAGCCCGGACAGATGGTGTGAATGTCATATAGTCCCAGGTACAGGAGGTTAGCAAGCCTTCAGGCACATAGGCACCTGGACAGGAAGAGTGAGAGAGACACATGGAACGTCAAATACTTTTGTTCTCTCCAAGGCCTGTATTGAAGTGGCTGGTGTATCATATAGAGGCAAACCTGCCAGGATTTATTGAGTAACAGATGTTACCTGCAAAGTATTGCATTCACATCCAATAAACCCTATATTTGTTTGGCCAGCCGGATCTGTAAAACATTTAGAAAACCATCACCGTGCTTAAGAATATCCAAACTAAACTGAGAATTCCATGCATCCCACCTAGAAGTGGAAATACCAGAAAGATTGTTGGAATGGAATGCGCACTCTCTCCCTGAAGAAATGCATCCAGAAAGCATGTTGGCAAAAGCCAAGGCTTGGGGACCTCAAAGTGTGCCTTGGGGTAACTGCTGGAGCCGAACCAGCTAAAACCACACCATCTAAACCCGCATAGCTTGCCATTGATAGCACTGTCTGGCAAGCCTCTCACTGCTCCCCTAGTCTCTCTACCAGATCTATTCTATAGAGGCAAACCTGACGAGGTTTATTGTGTAACAGATATTACCTGAAAAGTATTACATTCACATCCAGTAAACCCTACATTATATTAACTTCATGATAACCATAATAATAATCCTTGCATTTTATATAGCATTTTATTGACACATTTCAAAGAGCATCAAAGGATATAATATAAAGAATCATCACACATCTACGGAGAGACACAGACCACGCAAAGTGATTTAAAGGAAAATCTAGGACAGAATGTAAAATACAGTGGATTATCCCAATCATTATCTTAAGACTTCTGCAAACTTGTTCAGGTTATCAAGCTCCCAGATTTCTGTGGTTTTCCTTCTTAGCTTAAGTTTTCTTTCTCTGCTCCGATTTTCTCTCCCAAGGGCATTGGCTGTGTTGGGGGCAGAGTAATAATGATAACAATCCTAGCATTCGATATAGCGCCTTATCAAGTCATTGAGACACATTGCTTCACAGGATATATTGTAAATTGGATTGACTGTGAATTTTGTGGGCAAAACGCAGCAGCCAATTGCGCACAGGAGTATCCCACAAACAGTCGTGAATTGAGTGGTGGTGGATTTCTGGATGTGTCAGACACCAGGCTGACCAACCCCACCCCACCAAAAAAAACAACTGGAGTATGATATATGGGCATTGATAGTTCCCCAGTACTTCATCAAACCTCAATGTGGGCACCCTAGTCAAAAGTCCATCTCCGACATAGTCGGCAGCACACCGCCTATGAGCCAGAAGGTGGTGGTTTCAAGCTCCATGTCATGGCTGGGATCTCATGCAGTCTAGGCTGACACTCCAATGCAGTGCTGGGGATGTGCTGCATTGATGGAGATGCTGTCCTTTGGTTGAGATGCTAAACTGAGTCACCATCTGCCTGTTCATGGGGATGTTCAAGATCTCATGGCACTATTCGAAATGTGAAGGGAGGCGAACAAGGTATTGTTGGAGTTCTGAGATCCTTTTATTGAGGAAATTTATTAGATCAAACTCAACCCAAATCTGTAAGTGAGGTGAAAGGCAGAAAATGCGCTTATCCCTGTTCTCTGTACAATGTTGTCAAGTGCAAACCTGATCCATGTATCCAGTTTCACGTGCCATCAAGCCAATTAATAGACTCAACACCTAGCCTCAGCGTATTTCATGTGTACCCCACAGCACTGCCTGGTCAGTGGGTTAGAGATAGAGTAAAGCTCCCTCTATACTGTCCGTACACACTCCCAGTCAGCGACAGCAAAGGTTGGAGACAACAGCAACAACAACAAAATGACATTTGTATAGCGCCTTTCACGTCGGGAGGACGTCACAACAGAATAAAGCTCCTTCTACGCTGTCCATACAAATTCCCAGGTCAGGCACAGCACAGTTTGACCACCTATTCTCATTGCAGTCCTACTTGTTTCCCTTTACCCTCTGATATTCCCATTTTATAAACATGTATTTAACTCCCTGTTAGAGAATTTATAGATTCTGCTGCAACAAAGCTTCTTGGCATTGAATTCCACATTCCAACCACCCTCTGCGTAAAGAGCCTATTTGCCTAACCTCCCCTTTAATTCTTTCTGTGTTTTTCTGAAATCTGTGCCCTCTCTCATTCCTGATCAGTGGAATAATTTTATCACTGTTTATCCCATCCTAACCCTTCATAACCTTGAGGGACTATGGTAACTTCTCGGTGTTCAACTTGCCACTGTGCATGCTCCGAGATTCTGTCTTATGGAGTCCTGTAGTGTAGTGGTTAGAGCACTTGCCTCACAAATTTCGCCCACAAAATATACAGTCAATTCACTTAACAGTATATTCTGTGAAGCGCTTTGAGACGTCTCAATGACGTGATAAAGCGCTGTATCATATGCAAGGATTATTATTTTTGTATATTATTATTATACATCTTGCGTGAAGGGCGCTGTGTAAATGCAAGTTGTTGTTGAGCATTGCCCTCACAGGGCCTTGGAGGCCTCCAACCTAGGCTGCATCAGACCTAATCAATAAGAGGCAGAGACACTCAGACTCGGGTCTTCTCAACCCACCCCTCACCAGAGGATGCATTGCACTCTCTGGGGTTTTGGTGTAACCTGGATCAGGACGGTTCAAATATCCTCCACGCTCAGAGGCCAGAGCATTAGCCGAGAACTCTGATAATAATAATAATCCTTGCATTTGATATAGCACTTTTTCCACATCAGGTCTCAAAGTGCTTCACAGAATATACTGTAAAATTAATTGACTGTATATTTTGTGGGCGAAACGTGGCAGCCAATTGAGCAAAGCAGTATCCCACAGATAGTTGAGATTGAGCGACCAAATTATTTATTCATTTATTAATTTATTTATTGAAGGGATTTTTACCTCCGGAAAGTGATCTGCCAATCCAGGTTCCTACTTACTGCTAGGTGGACAGAGGTATGTGGAGTACGGAAACTTGCCTAAGGTTTCACCCCATCCAGGAATCGAACCCGGGCCCTCTTCTTTGTAAGGTGAGTGCTCTAACCACTACGCTATGGGATGCCACAGACTCTGAGGTGTGGACTGGACTGTCTCTGGTTAAAGAGAAACAAGAAGCAGGATTCTGCCTCAGTCCTTCCTCTGAACTAACAATGCCTGTGGCCTGGGTACAATTACACAATTAGCCCAGATGTTATGAATTACATTGGCTTTTTAATTTGTGACGGTCTCCACAGTATGAAGTCTAGCCACTAGGAGTCCTAAAAGATGTCGACTTCCCCCCTGCCAGCACCTCGCGGGAGCCTTTTATACTGAGCGAAAAGAATTGCAAATAACTTTTAGCAGTTTTAATATCTCGGTTTATGTCTATGTTTCTCGTTGTTTTATTTTTTGGAGTGTTTGGAGTTGGCCAAGTATTGGCCAGCGCTGGGGAGGGTTTCTGCCCACTGCTGAGAGAGTGGGAGGAGGGGGCTGTGTATGTATGTGCGTGTGTGTGTGTGTGGCTGCATTACTGACTGTGTGTGTGTGTGTGTGTGAAGGGGTGGCTGTGTTACTAACTGTGTGGGGGTTTGTGCATCAGGTGTCAAAGAGCACTGCAGTCGTTGAAGCCTATTGTGATGGATTAATGCCATTGCGATGTGAGTTTATCCCAGTGTAGGCTTCTGATTTGGGAACACAAGTTTATCACTTCCAGAAAATAATTGTTTCCCTATCGTTCAGGCTCTCACATGCTCAGAGCTCAGAAACATCTGGAGAGGCATTTTTGTGTCTCGTTCCTTGTGCGTGCATATCAGGGATTAATAAGTGAGTGTTTAATTTGCAATCTTAGAACCAATAAGCCTTTCATTTAATATAGCACCTTATCACGTCTCAAAGTTCTTCACAGGATATACTGTAAAGTGGATTGACTATATTTTGTGAGCGAAATGCACCAGCCAATTTGCACATAGCAATGTCCCGCAAACAGCCTCGGAGTGAGTGATCAATTTTATTTGGGGGGATTGTTGGACACAACATCAGGAGAGAGAAAATCCCTTTTCTTTTTGAATAGTGTCCGGGATCTTTAACATCCACCTGAACAATGGTGTCCAGTAGCATAGTGATTAGCGCCCTCGCCTCGCAAGTGAGAGGACCTGGGTTCCAGTAAGTAGGAACCCAGTTGTTAGTCGATAAGTGGATCACTTTCCGTCGGTATTTATCCTTTCAAAAATAATTAAATAAATAATGATGTGGTTAGTCAATCCACGACTGTTTGTTGGGGCACCGCTGTGCGCAATTGACTGCTGCGTTTTGCCCACAAAATACACAGTTAATATATTCTGTGAAGCACTTTGAGACATCTCGACCACATGATAAGGCGCTGTATCAAATGCAAGGATTATTATTATTATTATTATCAGGTGGTGAAAAGCTGCAGGATGTGACTTACTCCAGCCGAAGAAAGGAGGGAGGCTCCAGGCCAGCGAGTAGAGCCACAAGGACAGGATGATCAGCCCAGCTCGTCTGTGGGAGAGGACCCCGATGGAGGCCAGGGGTCGTGTGATCACAAAGTACCTGTCCAAGGCGATCACCATCAGCGTGATCATCGAGGTGATGCCAAAGAGAGCGCCGCAGAAAGCATAGAGCTCACAGCCTGTGGAGGGAGAGAGAGAGAGAGAGACCAGGTCAAAATTATGAGGAATTTTGTGGAGATTTACCAGAATGATACCAGGGATGAGGGACTCCAGATATGTGGAAAGACTGGAGAGGCTAGGATTGTTCTCCTTAGAGTAGAGCAGGCTAAAGGGTGATTTAATCGAGGTGATCAAAATTATGAGGGGTTGATAGAGTAAATAGGGAGAAACTGTTTCCTTTGCCAGATCGGTCAGTTACTAGAGAAAACAGATTTAAGATAATTGGCAAAAGAACCAGAGGGGAGATGAGAACATTTTTACGCAGCGAGTTATTACGATTTGGAATGCACTGTCTGAAAGGATGGTGGAAGCAGATTCAATAATAACTTTCAAAAGGGAATTGGATATGTACTTGAAAAGGAAAAATTTGAAGGTCTATGGGGTGTGACTGACTGAGTAGCTCTTTCAAAGAACCGGCAAAGGCACGATGGGCTGAGTCGTCTCCTTCTGTGCTGTAGGATTCTATGATGCTATAGGGAAAGTCACCGTAGATGTACAATTCACAGTCTGCAGAAAAAGAGAGTCACGTACTTGATGCATGACACCAATGACTGTCAAGCGGGTACCGCACTGCATTTTGTGAGTTAACTTTAACCTGTCACAGAATCACCGAAATTTCAACTGTCGAGTCTGCACCAGGTCTCAGAGCAAGCTGTCCATTTAATAATAATAATAATATTATATTATAGTGCCTTATCATGTTTTTGAGACGTTTCAAAGCGCTTCACAGAATATATTGCAAAGTGGATTGTCTGTGTATTTTGTGGGCGAAACGCAGCAGCCAGTTGTGCACAGCAGTGTCCCACAAACATTCGTGGATTGAGTGACCAAATTATTACTTATTACTAGGTAAACAGAGGAATGTGGAGTAAGTAAACTTGCCTAAGGTTTTGCTCCGCCCGGGAATCAAACCCGAGTCCTCTCACTCGTGAAGCGACGTGCCAACCACAATGTTACAGGACTCCGAAGGCCAAAGACACCGGGAGAAACTCTCTTCTCTTTCAATAGCGCCATGGAAACTTTAACATCTACCTGATTGGGCAGATGGGATCTTGGAGAATTTGCATGATCTCAAAATCCAGATGGGGGGCTGGAACTGATTATCTTCTGACTCAGAGGCGCGAGTGCCAGCTACTGAGACAAGCTGAATAAAGATGTTGATCGTTGCATAACACCTAACATTATGCAAGTGAAATAGACATAAAGGACGTAGGACACGTGAGTGTGTGTGGCTCATCGACAGGACTTGTAAGGGCATACTGGGGCAGAAATTTTTCCCACTCAGCTCCTGCTAACCCTGCAAGCCAAAGGACTAACTGGCAGGATGGTCATAGCTGGACAAGCAGCAGGAAGCCAGCGTAAGCTACACAAGCGAGAGGATCCGGGTTTGAATCCTGGGCAGGGCAAAACCTTACGCAAGTTTCCTTTCTCCACACTCATCTGTTTACCTAGCAGTAAGTAGGAACCTGGTTGTTAGTCAATTGGTGGATCGCTTTCCGAGGCTGATAATTGTCTAAAAAAAATTGGCTGCTTAATCCAAGACTATTTGTGGGACACTGCTGTACACAATTGGCTGCCACATTTCGCCCACAAAATACACAGTTAATTGACTTTACAGCATATTCTGTGAAGCGCTTTGAGACATCTCAACAACATGATAAGGCGCTATATCAAAATGCAAGGATTACAGTATTATTTTATCTGGTTAAACTTCAGCAGTTGTCCTGATACACATTCTGGGGATCCTAAGCCTTGGTTTTTTTGCCAACCTGCAACTAATATTTTCTGGAATTAGATAAACAGGAAGCCAGTGTACCTCAATAACAAGCTACTCAAGCGAGAGGACCCGGGTTTGAATCGTGGGCAGGGTAAAACCTTACGCAAGTTTCCTTTCTCCACACTCCTCTGTTTACCTAGCAGTAAGTAGGAACCTGGTTGTTAGTCAATTGGTGGATCGCAGGAATTGCAGGAAGAGAGTGCGCATTGCATTCCAAACACAGGAATTTCCATATGTAGGTGGCGTATGTATATGTATGCAAAACACTAAGACTGGTTTGGTTGCAAGGTGATGGCTTTTTGCATGTGTCAGACTCCCGGCGACCAAAATAAAGTGTGCTTCCATGTCCCAGAGAGGAATTGGGTGCCAAGACCTTGAGGGTGGCTCCGAGCTGCAGGAAGGGAGGACAGGAGAAGGGGAAAGTCACCTTTTTCTCCGAAGATCCAGCGCTTGTGGATACTGGTGATGAAGAAGATTGGGGACTGGGTGACCGACATGAGGAAATCGGTGGCTGCAAGGTTGATGATGAAGGTGTTGGCTGGCGTACGGAGACTTCTGCTTCTGAGGAGAGAATAGTGACAGAGAAGGGGAGGGGTGGAGAGGGGAAGCGAGAGTCAACAAAGGAAAAAATAATAATAATAATTCTTGCGTTTGGTTTTGCACCTGCCAGAACAACAACAAATTATATTTATACAGTGCCTTTCACATGGGGAAGGCATCCCAAGGCACTGGACTGTCAAGGGTTTGCATCTGTGCTGGGGGTTGGAATCAAGAGCAGTGGTGGGCTCAGGGTGTGGAGGTGTGAGAATGACCAAAGGTGCAGCTGAAGAGAAAAGTCTTAATAATAAATAATCCTTGCATTTGATATAGCGCTTTTCACGTTGGGAGGACGACCCAAAGCGCTTCACAGAACACACTGTAAAGTGAATTGACTGTATGTTTGTGGGCAAACGCGGCAGCCAATTGCGCACAGCAATGTCCCACAAACAGTCGTGGATTCAATGACCAAATTGTTTTGTTGAGGCATTATTGAGGCTGGGAAGCGATCCTCCAATCGACGAACAACCGGGTTCCTACTTACTGCTGGATATACAGAGAGGTGTGGAGTAATGAAATTTGCCTAAGATTTCGCCCCGCCCGGGAATCGACCGGGGTCCTCTCGCTTTGCGAGACGCACGTGCTAACCACTACACTACGGGACTCCATCTGCAGTCTGTGTAGCTGCAGTAAGTGTGTGCTGGGAGAGTGCGTGAGTGTGTGTGTGTGTGTGAGGGAGTGGTACCTGAGGAATGCATAGATGACCAGGAAGTTGCCCACCATCCCGGTCACGCCCACGGCCAGGATGGTGGCTCCGATGATGTAGTGGGCGTGGTCTGGCACATCTACCGTCGGGAACATGTGATGGTGCTGCGCATCCGTCACTGAGGCCTCCTGTCAATTAACATGCATATACAGGGACACCAACGGTTGTATATGCATGAAGATACAGAGATGTTACATACATTGACATACACAGAGGTGTGCTGCCCAGCAGTGTCCCAAAATCAGCTGTAGATTGAGTGACCAAATTATTCAGTATATTTTGTTGAACAAATCTGGATTCAGGTGGAATTTTAAGCCCCCAAGTCAGGACTTTGAGCCCACAGTCTAGGCTGACGCTCCGATACAGTGCTGGGGGAGCTCTGTATCATCAGACATACCCTCCTTTAGGGTGAGACGTTAAACCAAGGTCCCATCTGTTCAGGTGGATGGTAAAGATCCCATTGGGACTATTCAAAAAGAGGGAATTGTAGAGTCCTGTATAGCACTATTCGAGAAGGGGGTTACTCCCTTCTACACTTCATAGTAAATTCTGTGAAGCGCTTTGAGATGTCTCCATAACATAACAAATGGTGTTTAATGCCCTTGCGTTAAATGTATAATTATTACATTTATTATGTTGAATCGTATTGAATTACGTTACACACAAGAGCCCGGATTTACTATATTTATCTAGCATTTCAGTAGATCCAGAATTTGGCCAGTTCTTAAAATCCCCACTTAATTCTGAAGCCTCTATCCTTCCATCTCACCCCCTCGCTATCTCTATGTGTCTAAAGAGGCGCAGTGGTAGCGCTCTCACCTCTGAATCAGGAGGTTGTGGGTTCAAACCCCATGTTGGGACTTGGGATCACTTTGTCTAGACTGACACTCCAACGCAGTGATGTGTGTGCTGCATTAGCCTTTGGATGAGATGTTAAACCAAGAGGATGTTATAGGGAGTTTCTCTCTCCCGGTGTTCGGACCGCCAATCTCACAGATAAAAAAAATCAGTCACTCACTCCATGGCTGTTAGTGGACTGTCAAGGGTTTTTTGCTCTGCGCAAACTGGCTGTCGCATGTCGTCCACAAAATAAACAGTAGATCCACATTACAGTATACCCTGAAGCGCTTTGAGACGTCTCAACGATGTGATAAGACGCTATACCAAATGCAAGGATTATTATTATTATACAGCGCTCTGAGATGTCTAAGTTATTTGCTAAATTCTGTTTTTCATAAAAAACAGAATCTAGCCTCAAGGGGAATTTCTCCACCCACAACCCCCCCCCCCCACACCCCCCACCAGGAACTGTGATCTGGAATCTGCCGCAGATTGTGTCTGTGAATTCAGACAGGAGTTTACCCACAGTGAATTGGCAAAGAGATGTTTTGCGAGACAAGAGACAGAGGTTGGTATTCGGTTTGATGTTCGTTGCACGCTGGAGTCGCCACACTGACTTTCCTCGTCCTGTTCTTTCTTTTGATAATAATATTAACAATAATCCCTGCCTTTGATATAACACCTTATCACGTCACCGAGACATCTCAAAACACTTCTCTCTCTTTCTCTCTTTCCCTCACTCTCTCTCGGTTCCACTCTCCCTTGCTCCCCCTCTACCCCTCTGGCTGAGCAGAACCCCCTTCGAAGAGCTAAATTAGCCTCCAAATGGAGTAAAGAGACAGATGTGCGCACCACATTACAACAGAGAGACACACACATTTACAGAGAGTGAGTGAGAGAGAGGGAGATACCTAAAGAAAGAGAGAGAGAGAGGTTGACTGAGAGGGCAACATTTACTGAGAGAGAGAGAGACATTTACAGAGAGAGAGATTTACCGACACACAGAGAGAGACAAGTACTGAGAGAGTGAGAGAGAGGGACATTTACTGAGAAAGAGATACAGTTACTGACAGATGGAGAACAGTTTGTTATATATTGAAGAGATTGAAATACAGTCAGAGAGCGAAGAAATGGACCTTAATCTCTGTAAATTTGAAAAGATTTTAGATAATGACACTGACTGGCACACAAAAACAGAAGCCCTTAAAGATAACTGGAGAGAACAGATTAAATGGGTTGAGATAAAGGCTTAGAGAGAGTAGAATTTTGGTAGGAAATAATAATAATCTTTATATTTGATAGGGCGCCTCTTAGTTTGCAAGGACATCTCAAAGTGCTTCACAGGGTCTACAGTAAAGTGTAGTGACTATATATTTCGTTGGCAAATAACATATAAAAGGGACACTGGCAGAGAAAGTGTTAGTCGAGAGATACTGATAGACAATAAGATGTATTGGTAGAATGGGGAATTATACTAAATAGTCTATTAGTCTATCACAATAATACACAAACCTGCTTTACTGCTGCATACATAACAGACTAGAGAGGGATAGAGAGAGGGAGGGAGAAGATATTTTGAAAGGAAGAGATATTTTTGCAGGAAGATTAACATTCAAATATAGGCAAAAAATGTACAGTGAAAGGTAAACAGAAGACTGATTTATTCAGATTAAAAATGCCGGGATTATTATTATTATCATTAGAAATTCTACCCAGGTCAAAATTTATGATTTTAATAATGTATTAATATATATAGGATAATACGATATTAAGAATTTCTGAATTTGGCAAATTGTTGATTGAATTCAGTCTCTGTTTGGAAGCCATTATTTCTGAGGTTCTTAAAAGAAACTAATAATAATCCTTACATTTGATACAGTACCTTATCATGTCATTGAGACGTCTCAAAGTGCTTCACAGAATATATTTTAAAGTGAATTGACTGTGCATTTTGTTGGTGAAAGGGGCAGCTAATTATTCACAGTAGTGTCCCACAAACAGTCGTGGATCGAGTTGCAAGTTTTTTTTGGAGGTATTATCACCCCCGGAAAGTGATCCACCAACTGACTAACAACTGGGTTCCTCCTTACTCCTTCCTCCACAATAGCGCCTTATCACGTCTCAAAGCACTTCACAGAATAAACTGTAAAGTCGATTTACTGTGTATTTTGTGGGCGAAACGC